TGAGTGGGAATATGATTTCACCTCCGAGTCCAACTATGACCCTTCTTCCTGGTAAATGGAGGGGCAATACCCGTTGGTGCCAAGGAATGGTGCCGAGGTGGGAAGACCAGAGTCAAGGGGATCAGTACGAAATGGGAGCCCAGGGCCCCCTTTTGCTCCCTTCTGCTCACCAGTACCAACACCATCAACTCTTGTACTGCTGGCAATGGTGATACCGAAAGCTCCAGCAGGTCCCTGTCCACAACAACTGCCTCCAGGGTAGACGTTACCACAATCTTGCTGATGTCCTATTGCCCTTCTGGTGTCAAGGGATGGTCTGGGATTTGACTCAATGGAACCTGCCTATGAACTGGAGTCAACAGTGCTGCACTCAGAGTTAGAGCAGAGGAGTGGCCAGACTCAGGTCACACTCCACTGCACTCCCCATGCTTGGCTCTTTTCAGATTCAGGTAATGTCTCCTCGCAGTCAGCTCCTTATGTTTCTTCTTTGGCACTGATGAAGGAGAATGGTGCAGAGAGTCTTTTGTGGCAGGAGAAACACTACACACCGATACTGAAGTACTGGGTGCCGAATTGGACTGGCTCGTCTCGGATGAGGGACAGAGCACCACCTTCATCAGGATGGACTTCAACCTGGCCTCCATGACCTTCTTCGTACGGGGCAGTCAAAAAAGCTAAGAGAATGTTAGGAATCATTAGGAAAAGGATAGATAATAAGACAGAAAATATCATATTGCCTCTATATAAATCCATGGTACACCCATTCCTTGAATGCTGCGTGCAGATGTGGCCACCCCATCTCAAAAAAGATATATTAGAATTGGAAAAGGTACAGAAAAGGACAACAAAAATAATTATGGGTATGGAACAGCTTCCATATGAAGAGAGATTAATAAGACTGGGACTTTTCAGCTTGGAAAAGAAACGACTAAGGGGGGATATGATAGAGGTCTATAAAATCATGACTGGTGTGGAGAAAATAACACAAGAACTAGGAGTCACCAAATGAAATTAATAGGTAACAGGTGTAAAACAAACAAAATGAAGTATTTCTTCACACAGTGCAGTCAACCTGTGGAACTCTTTGACTGAGGATGTTGTGAAGGTCAAGACTATAACAGGGTTTAAAAAAGAACTAGATAAATTCCTGGAGGATAGATCCATAAATAGCTATTAGCCGGCCTGGGCAGGGATGGTGTCCTTAGCCTCTGTTTGCCAGAAGCTGGGAATGGGTGACAGGGGATGGATCACTTGACGATTACCTGTTCTGTTCATTCTTTCTGGGGCACCTGGCATTGGCCACTGTTGGAAGACAGGATACTGGTGTATATGGATCTTTAATCTGACCCAGTATGGCTGTTCTTATGGGCTTGAAGTTTTGACAGAACTGGCAGTGGTCCGTGATATGAGTCTCTCCCAGGCACTTCAACAATGAGTATGGGTCACTCACAGGCATGGGCTTGCTGCAGGAGGTACAGGGTTTGAAACCCGAGAACCAATGCATGCCCCAGTACTGGGTGCGGACAAAACTCCGCTAACAGGGCAAGAAGTGTCACCTAACTATATATCATTAATCTACAACAGTCCAAACTGAGAAAATAAAGAACTGGGATAGCAAAAACAGTGAAAAGGACTAAACCAGTGAGTAAGAGTTTGCCAAAGCAAGAGGGTTCCAGTTACTGTCACTGGCATTAAGAAGGAACTGAGAGGATGCGGAGACTGCCGGGTGCCTTATATTGGCACATGAGCACGCAGCACTACTGGGTGCTAGAGCCGCCCAATGGATACCACTGAGGGGAAAATCTCTGACAACTGTGCAGATGACATGCATACACCTAACCTGGAATGGATATGAGCAAGCAGAAGAAGAAGAAGTAGTTTTATGATGTGAGGCTTAAGGAGCTCAACTTATTCAGCTTATTGAAGAGACATTTGAGAGATGACTTGATTATTGTATATAGCTTTTACACACTGTGACACACTGTACCTCAACATGGTACCCTGTAACCCCCATATTCATCATCCATATATGGTTGTGATCTTTCACTCAAAGCATACCATGTAAGGTATCATACGAAAGGTCATGACCTGCTGAAACTTCTTGTTCTGTCCAAATAGATACATCATTGGTGTGTATAAAGTTATAAGATTTTGCTGTGTGTCACTGAAATATACTGTAAGTTTGCTATTGACATACAAAGGACCTCCATCCAGGAGGGTGCTCCACGACCTTTAATCAGCAGGGGAGCTGTAATCAAAGGATTTACAATTCAGTGAGAGTTTCCCAAATCCACACAATGGAGGCTTACTGGATCACTGTGACTCAACAAAGCTCACCGGGACATGTCTGTGCAAGTGTCTCCCAGGCACATGGATTGAGAGTATAAAATAAGGAACAGTTGCAGTATGTCTTGGCCTTTCTCCTCCCCCAGCTATGCTGGAAGCAACAAGCACACTGAGAAGATGAAAACCTCAACAGAGGAGACTGGTCCAGGCTTCATGGAGAAGTCTGTGTATTAAGGACTGTAACATCCAGTGGGGTGAGAAAATTGCTAATCTAAATACTACCTAGTGTAATGAGGTCTCAGATTTAGATTGTGCATTTATCTTGTTTTCCTTAGTAACTATCTCTGACTTTTTTATGCCTACCACTTATAATCACTTACAATCTATCTTTCCGTAGTCAGTACATCTGTTTTATATTTTAACTAAAACAGTGTATTTTGCCTGAAGTGCTTGGGAAACCTCAGCTCAGGTACAAAAGCTGGTGCATGTCCTTTCCACATTGAGTGGACTGGGTAATAAACTTACACTTGTCAGGCTTTTGACCAGGGTAGGACAGTATAGCGCTGGGGAGCTGGAGGGAATTTCCTGGAGCCTCTCTATTGTTAGTTCATGAGTGGCAGGGAGAAGTATTCATAAAACTCAGCTGGGTATGTCCCTGCCTTCGGATGTCTGTGTAAGTGCAGTACTTGGCAGAGGTTTGCAGTTTGTCACACATCACAGTGAGAGGAAGCCGAGCCTGGTGGGACAGAGGACTCAGCGGTACCCCAATTCCAGGTTGCACCCTGGGGATCCTCTCTCATACATGGACCACTTGGAGTACTGTGTGCAGTTCTGGTCTCCTATGTTTAAAAGGGATGAACTCAAACTGGAACGGGTACAGAGAAGGGCAACTAGGATGATCCGAGGAATGGAAAACCTTTCCTATGAAAGGAGACTCGAGGAGCTTGGTTTGTTTAGCCTAACTAAAAGAAGGCTGAGGGGGGATATGATTGCTCTCTTTAAATATATCAAAGGGATAAATACCAGGGAGGGAGAGGAATTATTTCAGCTCAGTGCTAATGTGGACACGAGAACGAATGGATATAAACTGGCCGTGGGGAAATTTAGGCTTGAAATTAGACGAAGGTTTCTAACCGTCAGAGGGGTGAAATTTTGGAACAGCCTTCCGAGGGAAACGGCGGGGGCGAAAGACCTCTCTGGCTTCAAGATTAGGCTAGATAAGTTTATGGAGGGAATGGTTTGATGGGATTACGTGATTCTAATCAATTAGGCAATAACGGCCATCGCTGGTAAAATGAGGGTCTGGCTAGAGAATCTTGCCTGTATGCTCGGGGTTCTGCTGATCGCCATATTTGGGGTCGGGAAGGAATTTTCCTCCAGGGTAGATTGGCAGTGGCCCTGGAGGTTTTTCGCCTTCCTCCGCAGCATAGGGCAGGGGTCGCAAGCTGGAAGATTCTCTGCGACTTGAAGTCTTTAGATCACGATCTGGAGACTTCAACAACAGAGTTAAGGGAAAGTGGGGGGATCAGCTTTTGTGGCCTGCATCATGCGGGGGGTCAGACTAGATGACCATATTGGTCCCTTCTGACCTTAAAGTCTATGAGTCTATGAGTCTATGAGACCAGGTATCTGATAAAGGGTTTTTTTCAGTCTTGCTGACAAAGTCATAACAAGATCCAATGGCTGAAAGTTGAAGTTAGACAAATTCAACCTTGAAATAAGATGCAATTTCCTAGCAGACAGGGTAATTAAACATTGGAGCAGTTTATCAGCACTTGGAGTCTTTAAAACCAGATTAGATATCTTTCTAAAAGATATACTTTAATCAAGATTCTGGGAGAGATTCCACAGCCTTTGTATATGGGTTGTTAGATGGATGGTCATAGTGCTCCGTTCTGACTCTGAAATCTGTGAATCTATGAAACCCCTGTTCGTTATCTCTCTTCATGAGCCATGGAGAGAAAAGAAAGATCTGCATTGCCCTCAACGTGCTCATAACACTTGCAGCTCTGCATTAAGACTAGGAATATAATTAAATTGAATGCTTCAGGTTTTCAGCTGGTTGTTTGCAGGGGTCAGGAAGCATTTCCTCCTGCTCCCGAAATGCACAATTGACCAGATGTGCTCTAGGTTTTTTCCACCTTCCTCTGAAGCATCAGAGTGTATTCAATTACCCAGAGCTGGAGTTGAGACACTGGATGGGTGGACCAGGACTTTGAGGAGGTGCAGGGAGTCCTCTTTCTTAGATGACTGGCTGGTATGCCCTGTTCATATGCTCAGGGTCCAACTGAGCACCAGATTTTCAGGATGGAATTTCCCCCCCATATATGCTTGGCAGGGACTTTGGATTTTTTTCCTCCTTCTTCTGCAGCGTGGGATGAGTATCACATGCTGGGATCATCTAGGTATAACTCACCTAGTCAATTCCTTGCCATTGCATGAGCCCTGGTAGCACCTTGGTCTCTCCTGTTCTCTGCCTGTGGCACATAACAGTTTAGTCACCTAAGGACTGAAAGGCTTTGGTCTGACTAAAGTCATTGGGCTTTATCTAGGGATAACTGGGTGAAATTTAATGCCTTGTGATATACAGGAAGTCAGTCTAGATGATCTAATACTTCTAGGCTTAAATGCTATGAAACAATCAATTATTAGCATAATCTTACTGAAGAAAATCTTTACATTATTTAAGATATCCATTTTTGAAGTGTACATACTATGGACTATATTTCACATACATTGACAATAGCTACTGAGGGAATTTTAGTGCACAGATAGTCTCCATATGAAAATCCAAGAGCCGATCGATATATTCCACCCCTATAATACAAAATACAGTAAACAACATGAAATGTTCAATTGATATTAAACTGTTCTCTATAGCTATAAATAAATTCAGTCTAAGTAAAAGAGTGATATATCAGATCTGTATTTAGAACTATAAGAAAACAATTTGTTCTTACTTGTAAATATGTCTTCTCATAACATAAATGTGCACCAATCCAGAGTTACTTACTAGCTAAAGTCTGCCCCATCAGAACCAACTGCAAACATCTTTGCTGAAGTGTCTTCTGCTGAGAGCTGTGATCATGTTAAAAGATAAGTCACTTATGTTATGTGAGGACAAATACACATGTAAGAATTCAGTTGTCCCATTCTTACATACCTAGGGCCAGATCCTCAGCTGATGTAAATTGGCTTTAATGGAATTGTACAAATTATCATCTAATCTTCTGTCCCCAATTATCTTCCCTACTGGTTAACTGGGTTACAGTAGTACAGCAAAAGGGGTAATGAAAATATTTACATAAACATGGCAGCTTAGATAGGCCCATCACCACCCAATGAGGTGAAGTCTACTTTGCAGTGTTTGGTAAAAGTATACAGATACACCCAGCTTGTGACCTTTTATAAGCAGTAACAAAATATCTATTTGATTCCAGCTGCTGATTTCACTTTGATATAGGATATCTGACAGGTGATTTAATTCTAGAAATTGCCTTCAAGAATTCTGGTACCTGAGCTTGAAATGATAGGGCTATTGGTGGGCTCTGAGTAAGCCTACTATGACTGCCTGCACTTCCACGTTCCAATTTAGCACAGTACTTAAGCCCATGTATAGTCCCAATGACTTCAATCTCGAAGAACCTCCAGTTACAGATGAGTAACATTTCTTCTTCGAGTGCTGGTCCCTAAGTGTATTCTACATGAGTGGTTGACAAGCAATGCTGACTGGAGTGCGAGAAAGCCAGCAGCAAAGATGCTTGCAGTACTTCAGTTTCCACTGCCCCATCTGCAGCAGAAGCCTCACTCAGCACCTCATATCTAGCAAGCGTGTGGATGGAGCTCCAGCTGGCCACCATGCATATGTCTAGTATTGGAATTTCCTGCAGAGATGCTGTAGAGGCAGCTTGTGCTCTTGTGAAGCATGCCCTGACTCTGTACTAACCAGGGCATGTCTGACATTGAGGGAAAGAAGTCTTTTCACTTTGGCAGAAGCATGGGGTTTCAGAAAAAGAAGATAGGTACAAGGATGCTTTGGTTGACATGGAATTCAGAAATAACAATAGGAAGGAACTTAGAATAGGGGCAATAAGGTACCTTTTCCCTGTGAAAACCCATATAAGGGGGGGTCTGCCATGAGTTCTCCCAACTCACTTACTCTCCTGGTCGAAGTGATAACTAAAAACGCAACTTTTCAGGACAGGTAGGACATGGAAGGCTTCACCAAGGGTTGAAATGGTGATCTGGTGAGGGTTCACAGGACGAGATTGAGGTCCCATTGAGGTGTAGATTTTACCTTTGAAGAAAAGGTACTTGGGTGAATGAAAACAGAATGCCTGTCTACTGGAGGAAGGAAGGCACTAATTGCTGTGAGATGGACCTACAGTGAGCTAATGGAAAGGCCTATTTTTTTTAGAGACCAGATACAATCCAAAATGACCAGAATACCTGCAGTACCTGTAGATGGATGATTATGCTACACCCAGGCAGAGAAACATCTCCATTTAGCTAGTCAGCAGGCCCTAGTTGAATCTTCCCTACTTCGGGTATGGACAGCCTGAACGGCTGCAGAAGAGGAGCATTCTATTTCCAATGCCCATCCGAACACAGGCCGTGAGACGGAGTGAGTCTGGATTAAGGTGTCTGATTCTATCCCCCTCCTGAGTTAGGAGGTCTGGAAAGGGGTGGATCATGATTCAGGGACAGAATGATATTTTTAGGAGCTCTAGGAATCAAAACTGTCTAGGTCAAATGGGTGTTAGGAGAATGACTCTAGCCCTGTCATGATGGATCTTTCTCAGAACCTGTTTTAGCAGAGGAATGGAAAGAAAGGCATATCTGAGATTGTTTCTCCATCACAACAGGAGAGTGCTGCCCTGGGAGCTGTGGCCCGTAGCTCCTCTGGAGAAAAACAGGGAAGTATTCTGTTAGTTTGGGACACAAAGATATCAAATTGAGGTGCACCTCACAGAGTGAATAGTTTGCTCAGGGCAGAGTCGTGAATCTCTCACTCATGGTCTGCAGAGAAGTGCCTGCTCAGGTTTTCCGCTGGGAGGTATGCAATTTGTATGGTGGTGCAGATTCTGAAGCACCAGTTCCAAACCCTGACTGCTTCCAGGTAAACAGAAAGAGATTTTGTTCTGTGCTGTTTGTTTATGTAAAAGGCCATGGTGATAGTCATAGAATCATAGAATATTAGGGTTGGAAGAGACTTCAGGACGTCATTTAGTCCAATGCCCTGCTCAAAGCAGGACCAACACCAACTAAATATTGCCCAACACCACTTAGATATGGATTGAATGTATAAGTGGGAGAAAGGCTGTGCAAGCCAGGCAGACTGCTCTCAGGTCTCTCATGGAATTCAGATACCTTGAACAGTGTGGCCTTTCAGGTGGGCACCCCAACCCCGAAGAGAAATGTCTGTTCTAATGGTGGCAGTAGGGATGAAAGTGTTGAAGGGAATGCTCATTCTCACTCTCTTTGGGTCTGACCACCAGATGGGGGAGGTGATGACTTTGGTGGGAACACTCACTCTGGAGTTGATGAAATCTCTATCTGGTGAGTACTCTCACCAGAGCCAGGCCTGCAGACATTGTGGATGAACGTGTTCACACAGCATTACATAAGTGCACAAGGTCATATAGTCTAATACCGAGAGGCACATTCTCCCCATAGTTCTTGGTCTGGAAGTAATCCAAGCGATCAGGCTGCTCATTAACTAAAATCTTTTTGTGGGAAGGAACACTCTCAATGAAACAGAGTCTGTTGACATTTATTGTCCCTGTAGCTGATAAACCAACTTTTCTCTGTTTATGCAGATACCAAGAGCTGCTAGAATATGGAGCAGAAACTGCATCACTGAACTGACCTGTAGGCAATAGCAACCTTTCAAAAACCAACTGTCTGTTGTGATCAATTCCCAATTGTGGGTGAAGAGTGCAATATGGCCCCCAAAAATAATAGGGGAAGAGGTGAGTGATGGTCAGGGTGGGTCTCATTAATATGTCAAAAGTAGCCCTTTGCAGGTGGCTGAGATTGGGCAGACGTTATGGGGTAGAGGGGGCTTTGAAGCAAGGCCTCTGAACACTCTGATGTTTTCTCAGAGGCTCAACTGGATGCTGGTGGTAGAATGCTTGAGGAGGGAGTGGCCTTGCCATATAGGCTTGTCTCTGCTGTTTTCTCCTTGCAGCTAGAATGTAAATCCCCAGAGAGTGAAAAGTCGATCTTGAATTCTTTAACAAGCATAGGAACTCATCCATTTTCTCAATGAAGAGATTTAACTCATCATAGGGCAGGTCCTGTATGGTATTCTGGATATCCCTGGGAAAACACAAAGACACTAGTTAAGAATTCCTCCCTGTGCCTGTACCAGTGGCCAGGTTTCTGGATGCCATATCTACTGCATTCACTGCAGCATGAAAGAAAGAATCTTCTTTCCCTCCTTGCCCTTTGGTCCTCTATGAAGGACCAAAATTGGACTCTGTCCTCGGAGTGGTCCTTAAAGTCCACCAGCCTGGAACAGCTGTTAAAATAATATTTTGATAACAAGGCTTGATTGTTAGTAATATGGAATTCCAGGCCCATAAAGGAAAAGACCTTTTTCTCCATGTAATCCAACCTCTTTGAGCCTTTGTTAGTCTTGGTGGTAGTCCTTTGATGTTGGGACCTATCCCTCTCCATACATGCCTCTACCACCAGAGACTTGAGTGTCGGGGGGGAGAAAAGAAATTCAGCTCCCTTGGTGGGGACGAAAGAGCACCTCTCGACTCAGATTACAAAATACCCAGGAATTGTTTTTGTGTGTCTTGGACCTTCTCCAGCTGTATCTGGAGGTCATTGGCAATCCTCTGCAGTAGCTCCTGGTATTGCCTATCAATTCTCTAGCAGACATGAAGAGGAAGGAGTGACTGCTTCATCTGGAGACAAGGGTGAGATTCATATTGGTATTCCCAGTACTTGTGGATATGGGTCAATATGCTCCTCCTCACAGTATGCTCCTCCTCCTCACACTTCAACAGATCTGATGGGAGCTGAGAAGGAGAAGTGTGGTAAGATTTCTTCACGGGTCCCGGGCATCTGTCATAGAGATCCCACAGGCCCCAAAAAGGCTAGAAAGAGGGTTCCACTGATTGTGAGGGACCCAATGTCATCGGGTACCAGCGATCCCTGGGGAAGTCATATTTGCGGGGGTAGCAATCTGATTTGCTCAACTGCCAGTCAGGACTCATCTCTGTCCAAGAAGATGGAGAAGTGGCCAGAAGGTCTGATGAGTCTGAGTCAGAAAACTGCTCCCCTACCAATGGTGGAGCCATCGGTACCAGGGTACTCCTGCCCGATGGCTGGAGAAGAGACAGCTCCTGAGATACTGAGTAGTATCATCCTCTGGTAACATTCCGGAGGAGGCCTGGGCCCGAGAGAATGGGAGACTATAGATAAAGGAGGAAGATATCCTCCAGTGTCATATATGTCTCCATATATCAGTGGTTCTCAACCTGTGGCCCATGGGCCACATGTGGCCTAATTAGCACACAGCTATGACCCAGCTGTGGGGTAAAAACATCCAAAGTTTGCAACTCCGGTCCTGGAAGAGGGCAGGGTTGGGGCTGGCTGAGGTGGAGATGACGCCACGCAGCCCTGCTGAAGCCCTCCTACCAGCAAGGAGGGCGAAGCAGCCCACTGTGGTTGGGGAGGAGCTCAGCCAGCAGTCAGCTGGCAGCCTGCTGCTTCCTCCCTCTCTTCTCCCCACCCTGCAGGAACACATTGCTAGGTGTCTGGTCAACATTGCCAGACTGGTTGAGAACCACTAGCTGGTGGAA